CTACTACTACTACGACGACGACTACGGCTGTAGGCTTTATGGCTGCAACGACGACTACGACTACTACTCGGCATTGCTTCGTTGCTCAAATACGTTTGACACGCCCACCGGCATCCTCCAGGTGAGGTCGTTGATCAATGATTTTGCTACTGCATGCCAGCTATGCCCCGTAGTTTGCCCTAAACATGCCCAAAGCTGATTAAGTTAAAGCTGCTGCGGCACTGCGGGAGGGTGGTGTGTGTACATCCTCGCATTGATCCGTCCCTCCGGGCGGCAGCCAATGGTATAAATGTCTGTGCAGCGTTCTGAAAGGCGTGTACACCAGCTCGCTTGAATGTGAGAAGTCAAAGAGATTTCCCAAGTCCTGGGGCTTGGGACCACAGGGGTCAACATGGGCCAATTATCATTGAGGGCGCTGGGTCCAATCCGCATGTCCCTAACTTCTCTGGCTCCTTTTCATCTTTCTGGTCGGCTTTGGCAATTCGCTCATACACGCGCAGCATGTAGGAGTCGAAAGCCCGCTGTCCCGGCGGGAGGTGCATGTTAGCCTTGGAGCATGCGGTTCTAGAGCCCCGATCTCAAAGCTAAATCCAGGCCCTGCGGCTGAGTCGATGCTGGTGCCCCCAGTCCTCAGTCGCACAAATCAGGCTTTAACCCCACACCCAGAACTTAAATGCGCGGGTACGTACGTACATACGTTCTGTACGTCAGTACTAAGTACGTAGAGTACGTACGTACGTCGTGAGAAGCCCTGGCGCAAGGATTTTGGTACGGGGGCTCAGGCAAGAAGAACAAGCGCCAACACTACAAGCCAAGTTGCTAGATCAGCACTTGACCGAAAGGTGCGCTATGCAGCTACGTGGGCTGAGTTCTCCCCCGACGCGGAGGAGATGCTAAGCAACGATCAGTTGCGCTACTTGAAGCGAAAGTTTCCAGGAGTTGTCCCTTGGGCGAGCGCTAGAAAACCAGAACAGGAGCCTCAGGCAGAGCGCGCCAAGACCCTCGAGCAGGAGGAGAGGGGGGGGCCATGGGCCGAGCTAGAGAGCGTCAAGCTCAGCTAGAAACCACGGAGCAAGCGGCGGAGAAGGAGCATCAGGAGCTCCACACTACGCTAGCACTGATTTTTTCCCACCCATTTCGCTGATGCAGGAAGACTGCACCGAAAAGACGTGAGCGCAAGTCCCGGGGACGAGAGTGACATAGTAGTGACATCCAAGCAGCAGCAAACCGCATAGGCTAGTCGAAAGAACATCACTCTCCGCCGGACTCGCCAGCACCACTCGACTCAGCATGCGACGAGCTGCTCACTACCCCGAACAAAGTCGCATGCCAAGAAGAAGGGCTATGTACACACTTGAGTCTCAAAGGAGGCGAGTCCGACCCCAAGCGAAAACAACCCCAAGAACCCCCATGGCTACAGCAACGAGCAAATCCAGAAAAAGGAGACGTGGCTATGGTCAGGATGGTCTGGAAGGAGCTTACAGTCAAGTGGCTTACAGCTCCTCCAGCACCGGGCCTGAATACACAGCAAGGTCTTAGCCGGCCTGGTCCCACGCTAGACACGCCAGCGGAGGCCGACACGCTACCGGCAAAGACGCTCAGAGAAAGGTCCCGTAATGCCCCGGCGGGCGGACCTGCTAGATGGCAAATTGCGAAGGCAGGGGCACTGAGCCTGCACATCCTATGACCTGGAAAATGTCATACGAGGACGCGCTACGCCTGCAGAAACCACCTAAAGGCAACAATGTAGCGCAAAAGCGCAAACCATAAGTCGTGGTGTGGCCAAAGGTTCTCGGTGCACCCAGCGGACCGCTCGGCAGCCATGCTAGAAGCCAGGAGCCCAACGTTAAGGGGTTCCGCAAGAACTGGGACGTCCTCCCACGAATCACTGGCGCAGACCACGGCCTGTCTGCGAGCTAAACCCACTCATTGCCTTCGTCGGCACATGCTACTCGCTGGTCGCATCTACGATAGCTGCCTCGCTGGCTTCGGTGTCGCCACCCATGCTTACACATGTGCGTGTACTCATGTCTAGCTGGGGTCTGGACTGGACGTAGTCCCGGCGGCTCCGGAAGGCCCTCTTTGGGACCAGCATCCCTTTAAGGATGCCACCACTCGGTCCGCCGCGGCCACCAGTAGCATCTGCACAGGTAGCCAGCCTCTTCTCTAGCAAACCGTTCACCCTCACTAGTCAGAAGAGCTGCCAGTCCACGCATTGTCAGCATGCTCCTTTCGCAAGGCAAAACCCGTAGCGAGCCACCCAAGAGTGGGCCAGCTGGGCCCGCAAAAATACAGAGCGGCAACTCCTTGATGCGCTTGCTAATCCGTGACGTTTTCGTGGTCAATGGCTAGCAGCTAACCTTCCACTCAGCTCCCCCGACCACCTCAGCATCCCCCACACCTTCAGCAGCTTGCCCAACGTCCCCTCTTTTTTAAGGGGGCCTTCGCGGCCCAGACTATCCGTCTGTGGGTGTCCTTCTGCTCCAAGGAGAACTCGGCCACGTTCTCCAACCAGGCGACAGCTGTTGGTGCCTCGGGCACTGTCCTTCCACACGGCTCGTCTTGGGTCTCGGCGGCTTGGCAGGTATTTAGTCGACCTTGTTAAAAAGCCTCCTGTTAGAAGGCCTCTTAGCCGAAATGGCCAGGCCATTCCGAGACCTCGGATATAACCGTAAACACGTTCGACGTCTTCCTAGCGAAACACCTTCGATGTTTCCATGTGATGATCTCATGGGCTAGCGTACACGGTCGTACCACAGGCACGAATGCGTACCTGTGTCTAAGGTCTAGGAAAGGGCACGTACATAGGTATGGCTTTTGGTAAGTAAGTATACGTACATATACGCTTACCCCTGAAAAACAACTGGCGGTGGGGTACTTGAGTTGGCGGCGGGAGGGTACGTACGTATGTAGTACGTATACGTGCAGGGTACCGGTGTCTTGGAAAGGGTAGGTACACATACGTAGGTATCGGGTAGGTATGTAGGTATGTAGGTATGCGCCTACCTAAAAAACTTGGGTGGGGGAGAGGGGACATGTGTATGTACGTACGTTACGTACGTAATAGTATGTACGGCTGTGCTAGGCATTGATTCCCGAGAGAAAAAATTAGGGGGCAGGCGCCAGGGGGACATGTATGTACGAACGTCGACATACGCTAGGCAGGTAGGTAGGTAGGCAGGCAGGCAGGCAGGCAAGCAGATTCGCAGATAGGTAGGTAGCTAGCTAGGTATATAGCTAGCTAGGTAGGGTAGGTAGATAGGTAGGTAAGTAGGTAGGAAAGGGGAGGGGGGTGGTATGTGCGTAGAAACGTACCTCGGGGCGTCGTTGTGTAAATCCAGAACCCGAAACTCAAAACCCTAAGCTCCTCTCTCTGAACCTGGAGGGCTGGACCCACGGTCCTTGGGCAGTTGTCCTCCACTCACGTATCAAAAACACTCAGAAAGTAGGCGATTGCACTAGGAATACCGCGAGCTGAAACCTGTACAATGGCACTAAACTCGTAGGATGCATCACCCTCCATGTCCTCATCGTTTCCAAAAGACGACTGACTGCGTAACATTGCATCATCCCAGCTGAACACCAAGTGCTGCAAAACTTTGGTCTGGTTGCTTGGGTATGTGCATGAAGCGTAGGCAAGCTTCTGCCTGAAGTGACCTGGGGATTGTGCTCAAGACAACGAAGCAAAGCTACCCAACAAGTCCAAGTCTTCGAGGGTATCAACCACCAGGAAAAGCGAAGATGTCGGGTACTGGCTGTTCTCCATGTTCTGTGTTGTATTCTCCATAGTGCATCAGATTGAGGAACATTCGCGCTTTCACCTTAAGACATCCTGAGTTCCAACGAGAAGCAGTGAGCCCAAGGACGGTTCCGAATGCTTGGTGTTTCTGGACAGTGCAGTCTAAAGCGTCCTCCTGCTGCTACTACTACTACTACTACCACCACTACTGCCACTGCTACTGCTGCAACTGCTACTACCTACTCCTAGACTATCGGCATAACTTAGCCAGACGGTTCAAACCTTCACCATGGCGAGATGGGAGATGGCAGGAGGGTTTCTCGTTTACATCGGGCTTCAAGAGAGTCGGTTCCAATC